GCCTGCTCTTGGCCATGGCTGCAGCAGCTGCATCAGCCCACACCTTCCTTGTAGCCCTGGGCTTGCAGCCACCCAGTAAAGTTGCTCTCTACTATTAAACCATGACTGTGGACCATTGAATACCCATACTCAAGCCCAAAGAAATCCTGAACCACCTCTCGCAAAGTGCTTTGAAATCTTTCTCTGCGGTCTTTTTACGGAGACTTTGAGGGGACAGAAACCAGCTCCTTTGCAAGCCATGGCAAATGTTTTAGCAACCTAAAGTACAAAAGGAAATGTGGTGAGGTCTGCTCACGAAGCGTTACCATCCAGCACCGTGCCTCTGGCTACTGAGGAAACTCATTTAACTTATTTTTATATGAAAAGAGGGAGACAGACACAAACACACACACATATAATCTAGGAGGTAAAGAGAGAATCTATATCTGCATTTGCAGTATCTTCGTGCACCAGGTAAGGGAAGCATCTTTTTTCCTTTTAACCGGGTGCTGTACATAGACTGCAAGGGAACAATGTATCTTCAGGCTATAGCAGTTCACAAGGGGTTGTTTTTTGGTTTGGGTGGTTTTTTTTTTTTTTTTTTTTTTTTTTTTTTTTTTGTCCCCAGCAGATGTGTTATTCAATTACTTCAGGGCTTTTCCATTTGTAATATTATAAAGCAGTGATAGCCAGCAGACTTCACCTGTCTTTTAGAGATAGCCAGCCTGGTAATTTTAACTCTGCCCATTTTATCCACACCAGTAAATCTCATAACATGGTTATAGAGAGATTCCAATTTTTGTAGAACCTTCTCCCGGGAATTCCTGTATACAATATTGCCATAGTCTGTAATGGACATAACCTGTGATTGGATTAATGTTTCCCTAGTGAAGAAGTCAAAGCATTTCATGTTCCTATAACCGGTTTGCAGCTCTGCAGTAAAGGTCTTTGGTGTGGCAGAGAAAAATAATTGCAAATTCAGCCCCAATCAGAATATATAATCCCCTCACAGCAAGGGTCCAATTCAGTGTGGTTAGACTGCCTGCAGAGGGGTTTGTAGGGGGATTTTCTTGTCGGGAGAGCAGAATCCACAAAAAACAAGTTAATTTTGGTATTTTAATATTCATCACCCAGTCCTGTACAAAGAGAGGTAAGTATATTGCTGCTACTCCAAGGGAGAGCCCTCCAGCTCCCCAAGCAGACAGTGGAAACAGGCAGGGGATACAATAGGGCTCTGGTCTCCCCACAAGAAGAGCCCTCCACTTGTGCTCAGGTACACACCTGCTTTTGTTCACAAGAGTAAATACCCGTCTGTCAAATTAGACACCCCGTTTTGGGCTCATATTGGCTTCTGAACCTTTCAAAATCCCTGGTGTTACCTTACCTGGGACACAAGTGACTAGCTAAAGAATTGCAGTTGGGGTACAACATGCATTACTTACATCTGAGACAAAGATCATCTTCTCCAGGAAGAAGAGGCTCAAGGCAGGCCAGAAGCAGTCTCTGAAGCAGGATCTGCCTGCTCAGGTGAAGAACTTCAGTGCTCATATGGGAAGGAAGTGATCTAGAAGCTAGGAGCAAAAGGTCTCAGATTTTCAGCTCCCATAATGGTTTTACCAAGAATTTGGGAAAAGGTGGGTGCACATCATCCATGCTCTGCCACACTGAAGTGTAAGCCCTTGTTGTGCAAGCCAGCAAAGACCCTACAGTGAAAGGCTCAGGCTTCCATCCCCAGCTGGTCAGAGAGAACGCTCAAGAAACGCAGTTTACTGATGAGCACCAAAATAAGAGGTGGGTCTCTGGTGAAAGCCATATGGAGTCAACTCTGCCTATAAGGTTCAGAGGAGAAATTGTCAAGATCTCAGAGTGGAAAAAATGGGTTGGGGCAGCTATGGGTGGATGAGAGACAACCTGAGATAGGAGTGAAATGGGAGGCAAGAGCAAAGAGTTTGATCAACACATGCTGGAACAAAGATGAGGACGGTGAGCTCCAGAACAGGAATGCTGCCCAGCTGAGGAGCAAGGCAGATGCTCTTGGCAGATAACCTTATATTTGGATGTTATGGTATTGCGAGGCAGGTGGAGAGGATGAGAAGAAGGTTACCAGCATGGGTGTTGACAAATGGGATATCATCATTTCCCATATGGATAACTGTCTCCAATCTGTCCTTTCTACTCGACTAAAAGTTTGAGATATCTCAGCAGAAAGGAAGCATCTCTGGCAGAGATGAGCAGTCTACAACAGTTCTATACTAAACCTTGAAATTGCAGGCTTGGGCACAGATAGGAGTGGCAGGAAACAAGTGAGAAGCAGAGACAGTGATTTCCATGAAGTTATTAAATGTAAACTTAAAAGACCAACTTTTACAAGTCAAGTAGTGGGAACCTCTGACAACCAATAGCAGGGCAGCACAGGGGCTTCCCAGGGCCCTCCTGTCCACATCTGGGTTTTGAAGTGACTCTGAGGGCCTGTGAGGAGGAAAGAATTAAAATGAAACAACACTCACTCCACAGCTGCTTTTATTATTTTATTCACTTATCTGGAATAGACTCATTAGCAGCTAAGCAACCTGAAACTCTCTCATTTATTTATATATATACACATATATATAGACTCATCCAGAAAAAAATAAAGAGGAATTCTGCAAGTGTTTTTCCAATGAATATGCAGAAGGAACAGTATCACCCCAGTAAACCAACTTTGCAAGTCTTCCACTAAACCCCTATAAAACCCAGTGATAGTCATAAATTAGCACTAGATTAATTCAAAGGAGAACTTATCCCCCCCTGCATACCTTCTAATCCATATCTCCAAGAGGTCATTTTAATTATTGCACTGTCACTGCTATTCATTACTCGGCTTTTGGAGACAGAGAGCCAGCACTGTGCCTTTTGGATGCTTCGGAATTCATCATATGTAGGCATTTTATTCTCCCTAAATATATGCACAGTTTAACCCCCTTCACCTTGAGATACTGACAATATCAGGGTTGCTTGGTGTTTTAAATCATTTCCCTTCCAGTGAGATATCTCTGTCTTGTTTTCAACCAAATTCCCCTTATCAGAGAGAAACTAGCTAATGAAAGCCAAGCTAAGGGGTAGCTAATGCACAGACACAATCAGCTCAAGTTTTGTCAGATCCTGAGTAGCTTGTCCTTTTGCAGAGGCATGCAAAGCCAAATTTTTGTCCTGACTTGTACCTGCTGGCTCATTCTGGCTGCAGTAATGCTAACTAGGTAGAAACCATGTTCCAGTGGTTCCCAGGAAGTCTGTTGTGATGGGGCTCCTGAAGTGCGTGTGAGGTCCTGAGACAGAACACAGACCTCAGCCTTGACCCGGCTCGCTTTGTGTTTACTTGTGTGGAAGGTTCCTCAAGGACCTTACGCTGAGCTCCCTTCTACCCATTGAGATACAGATATGAGAACCATATTCAAAGACAGATGAATACCTATGAGGACCTGCCAACTTCCTAGGATCACACCATGGTTCAGTGTTGGTCACACTCAGGCCATGCAACCAGGTCTCCATCACTGAAGAATCAGGGAGTACTTTCACAAGGAACAGTAAATTAAAGTTACCTAGAAGGTCTTTTTTAAGCCATAATTCTCATTTTTTCTCATACCTTTTCATTTATCCTCAAGGTGCATTCTTCTCACACGCAGGGCAGCCTGAGGACCCAGATGAGTCTGACTCTGTTCCTAGATCATGATGCTCATGTGCTGGGAAAGAGGAAAGGAGCAGCCAACCCAGCTCTTTTGCTAAAGAACAGAGTGTCTGGGGCTACTACTTCTTCAGTGCCACCCCACGCCATGAGGAGCTTGTTCAGTCTTGTTTCACACATCTTTTTTCAACCTCAGTCTGGTTCATCCTTTCTCTATCCATTAACTATTTTGGCACTTTCTCTCCTCCAAAGCACCATTGCAGCCCAACTCCTAGCAGAAGACAGTGAAGAAAAGCTGCTTCCCAGGGTTTCTGATGGGTTGGCAAGTGGCAGTTCTAAATGCCCTCTCCATTCCCATCCCCTTTGATGACACTCAGACACCTGTTTTACTCTCCAGTTTGAGGACCGCTGGCTTCACACTTCCAAGTCCACCTCACTGTCAGATGTTTTAGTGAGTCACAGAACACAGGAGACAAGACTGCCTGGTGATGGTGGCTTTAAGCAGAGATTTCCCATGCTGCCAATGTCCTGAAAAGGTGGTGAGGTTTTACTTGGGATTTCTTACAGTGGTGGCACAATGTCGTTTGTTCATCCCTTTCAGCACTACCTAGCTCACATTGCCTCATGTATCTGTTGGGTCTTTCTAGACCCAACCATTTTTTTGCTGGACAGCCATGGTTCCTGTCTGTTAGACAAGCCTCACAGTGAGTTTCCTGCCTGCAGCCTGACAGTAACATTTCTCATGTGACCCCCTTCCTCAAAATAGCTTACAGAAGAGCAAAAAATCTAACCATGCAGCAGATGATAAACGGCACACTGAGGAGTGCCCGCCTGGCTCCCAGAAGCTATTTATCAAGCTCTCCTAATGCAAGCTAACAGGGCTAGCACATGCAGTTGGCATAAGAGCTTCTGAGCCTGACGCTAAAAAGGGAGACATCACATGTTGCAGCAGGGGAGCCAGGACTCCCTCCTTAGCTCATTGTGTGGATTACCCCTGTAAAGAGAGAGAGCGAGGTGGGTGGAGGAGGAGGAGGCTTTCCCATTTTAACAAATAGCTTTTCAGCCCCAGCAAATGATTTCTGTAAATCTATTGGGTCATTCTCTCTTTTTGCTAGAGATGAAGAAAAAAAGAAAAAGAAGAAGAAAAAGAAGCCCTGAAATTGATTTACCATCTATAAATAAAAAAGAATCAATAGGAAAATTTCTAGCTAATTTCCCTCTCCCTTTTTCTCCCTTGGACTATTTGTTATCTTAGGAATACTTGTCTCAGAAAAAAAGGAGGAACATAATCGGTTCCAAACCACAATGTGCTCCTCGCCCCACACACCAGCTCTTCTCTCCTCTCCTTTTTCTCCTCTCCTCATCGTGTGGAGTGAGATGGCTCCTTCAGACGTGCCTGGCTCCTCTTCTCGGGCTTGCTGCCAGCATGGCTATTCCCTTGGCTCCTCTGGGTAGCGCATTTAAAACCTGTGAGCTTTTCCTTCCTGCCAAAAGAAGAGAGAGAGGGGACAGCTATTGTAAACTACGGCGGTGTTTCAGCAGCAGGTAGCCTGTCGGTGGGATGTGCTCTGAGGAGAAGCCATGGGTGAAGTCTCACAGTGAAGTGCATCTGTAAGAAAGGCTTTGGCAGCTTAAGACAAATTAGAGGTGGTTGAAGACCAGCTGGTCCCCTCCTCCCCTGGCCATAGCAGGATTAGTCCTTCCAGTAGACTTCAAGGGCTCTGTGCTAGCTCTGAGCTCTCCAAGAGGAGGGCCCACTGCTTCCCTTGGGCTAATGCACTTACTGCTCTTTCCTCCTCACTGTGGCCCCTGCAAGCCTAGAACATTTCACTTCATTTCTGCTCATTAGCAGCCCTCGTATCACTGTCAACATTTCCTTCTGGGGCATACACTGCTCACAGGACAGCTGGGTTCATGGGGTTGCTCACCAATGGGTTGTCCCTACTGCCAGGGCTGTTCACAGCTGGAGCCAAATTCTTCTGTGACAGTCCTGCTGCATGGCTGAAGAACATCCATCACCTGGCACGTGATGCCAGTGCTTTCAGGATCCAGACCCATGTCTTCAGAGAACCCAACATAGTACTGTTTTTTCTCTGTGCCCATTAACCCCAGTTATCTAACAGTCATGCAAAACTGTAGTTGTCACTGTTGTTTGGGATTTTCCAGCACACCTTTTGGGGTACAGTCCTTTACAAGCCTTGGGTTCTTGATAAGTCTCACTGCTTGTTTCCCAGAAAAGTGTTGCTGGTGTGCCAGGTGAATATTTGCTACTTTAAGGAAAAGTAAATCTCTTATGCTTTATTGTCAGTTCATTCTGTACCATTTCTGTTTACTAACTTATATAGCCTCTTTGCTTAGAGGCCTTAATTAAAAATCCTCCATTGCACAGCCCAGTCCTTTCCTCCCTTGGAGTCTTTGCCTCCCAGCCCCCTACCAGCACAGACGGGTCATACTGGAACTGCAGAGATGCCTCTGAGCCAAATGCTGGAACCAGGAGCCAGAGGAACCAGCTGTTGGCTGCCCTCTGGTAGCCAAGGGTGCCCTACAACCCCACCTGCAAACTGGTGGCCAAGAGCAGCATTACTCCATGCTCATCCCAAGCAGCACCAGCTGTATGCAGCCATCATCATCACCATCCCCAAACTCCAACCCCATGGTGCTGCATCTCCCACTTATCTTGGCAGAGCATGAATTACCTCCTCTCACCAAGCTGGCTGTGCTCTGGCTGTAACAGCAGATGTACCTTTTGATGGCTTGTCCTCTGTAAAAGCAGCAAAACCCACCCAGCCATTCCCACTCTGAGGAAGGAACACAAACCCTGCTGTCAGCCTTGCTCACACCAGCCAAGGGGCTCCGATGGGGTGCCCACTCAAACAGCTCCTGGCCCCTCCAGTGTCCACTATGCCCTGCCAATTTTGTTCGTTTGGCCCCCCACTGCTGTGGCAGGACACAAATGGAGAAGGTCCTCGACTTGTGCCTGATTTACTCCTTGAGCTCCCTCATTCTGCTTCCTTCAGTGCCAGTCACCTGTATTTGCCATGGCAACTGGGGACCCAAGCCAAGCTGGTGTGAATGCTTTACCAATTCCTACTGAGATGCAAATGCTGGGAAGGGGAGCACCAACCCATTCAGGTAGCCACGTTACCAAAAGTGAAGTGACCTACCAAAGGCCATGCAGCAGACTTGGTGAGAACTGAAAGGAAAAGATAGAAACCCAAGTTTCTTGATTCCCTCCACCCCATCTCACCTCAGAGGTATTGAGGGGCTTTACAAAGCCCCTCTACACCTACCTGCTGTAGTGGCACAGCGAAACCTGCCTTCCCCACCACACAGGTGTGTGTTTGTCAGTTCTTCTGCTTTTATTTGTGGAAGGAGGTTTTCAAATACATTTTAAAAGTATTGACATAATGTAGGCGCCAATGTGGCACAGGATTTAGAAGGCTGTACCTCTGCTAGCCCTCCCCCCCTCACTGCTGTCCCAGCTACCACCAGTTCAGCATCTGCTACAACTCCACAGTCACCAGCCTAAGGGACAGTGGTATTTGGAAGAGATAAACACTGAGACAGAAATAAATACAATAGGACCCTGGGAGGAAGACCTGAAAGGCACACAGAAGTGAGAACAAACCCGTACTCCACTTCTGTGTATAATTACATTGACACGTTCCTAGACGATGCTGGACACCCAAACACAGCAGCAGCTGTGGACCAAATGGAGAATCACACAAAATATAGGAAAGCCAGCCCGTGCCCCAGGGCTGCATCAACCCTGCCCGTGTCACTGCTGACAGCCTGCCTGCCCGCTCCCAGGGGCACGGGCAGCGCTGGGCAAGGGGCAGGGCTCGGCTCCTGGCCCCTCCATACACACACACACACATTTCTCTTGCACCCACTGGCCCAGCGCTGCTGAATGTCGTTCCCATTCTCCTCTCTGCAAGCGAAGGAAATAATAAGAAACATGCAAAGAGGTAAAAAATGGTTCTTAAACCTCCTTCCTTTTTCAGGGGTTGGGTAATGCAGAAAAAGGAAATTATTTTTTTTTTTAAGAAAATTGTCTTTTCTTTTAGAAAAAGGTCTAACCAACAGCATTTAGAGGTGGGATTTTTAGACATTGTCCTCTTCTAGTAGCTTTCCAGGTACGAACTGAATTGAAGCACTGTGTCAGCCACTCTTAAGGTACTTGTGACAAGGTGATTTTTTTGGATGTACAGCCAACTGATAGGCAGGCACGATCAAATCACACCTCTGCTGCGTGCTCATCACACATACAGCAGTTAATCTTGAAGCCATGCAAACTGTTTTGCAAATTGAAATCTCAGAGGCATAGTAATTACAATACCAAATTTATACCACATCTCTCAGTCAACTAATTGTACATCCAAAAAATCACCACTTGAATAATCTGAATACATTCACCTTTACAGCTAAAAAACCCCAACAAACCAAACCACTACATGCTTGATCTCAACACGGTTTGGAGTTACAAAACCCTATGGGGAACAAAATGGCAACTTCTGACTTCAACAGCAAAATTGCTTCTCTCTATATACAGCAGATGCATAATTCACGTTGAGGTCTAACGTCTTGGTGTTTCGAGGGATGCTCTTTTTTACATTCTGCAACATTCCTGTTGCTTGCCCGTAGCTCTCCCAGCCCATCTGCAGGAAGACAAGCCCTAGATACATCTACTCCAAGTGTAGTGTAAACATTCACACCTAAAAGAACTCTATCTGGATTTCTACTTGGTAGGAAACCTCAAACCTTAAAGGTCTTAAAATGAATGAACAAACTAACAAATTGGGTTAATGTTTTAGATGAGCTGAGCTTTACAAAGCCACTGCCACAGGCACGCTTGGGCCACTGTGGCATTTTGAGCTCCTTCACACACACGTTTCTTGACTTCCGTTTCCATCTGGTGAAGCAGGTTGAGGTAGGGAAAAATAGATTTGAATTAGTGACTTTGCAGCTGGTGTATTGAAGAGGGCCAAAATACAAGAGAATTTGTGTTTAAATTGCAAAAAGGAGAAAAAGAAGTTATCCAAGCCATGTGAGTAGGATTAAAAATGAGACATCAAGGCTGGAAAATGGCTAACCTCTGATCCCTGAAACCAAGAAATCTGTCTGCTGTCTTGTAGCTGCTGATTTAATTTTTACACTTTCCCCTCCATATGGAGGAGAAGCGTTTCCATTGCATCCATGGCAGCTAAACAATCAATGCCTGATTACTTCAAACACTTCACTCTCAGGGCTGCACAATTAACCAAGCCCACGTTTGACACCGTGAGGGGGCCGCAGTATTTTCTGGGAACGTCTGACGAGTTTCAAACATAAAAAACACAAATCAAATGGCCCAGCAGATAATGACAGCCAGTGCCCTGGCAGTTAGATAATGTGTGTGCTCCAAAGCAAGGCCAATTAGAAGCAATAAAAACAAATTCGAAATGTTAGAGCAAAGGTCAGAAATCCTCAGCCATTACCACAGGCTTGATTTTTTATTTTTTTTTTTTCCAAGCGGTCATCAGTGCCTGTTTCTAGAAAGTGAAGCACAAATCCACACCTCTCAGATGACCACTCACCTCTTATAATCAGCAGATTATGATTTCAGGGCCATACAGACCCCACTAACACGTTGCGTGGAGAATCCCAGCGCTATCTGGAAACTTCATCAGGTCCATACCCTGCAGTCCTGCCTTTCTGAAAGCAGGGGCTGATCCATACTGCCTATAGAGAAGGGTTCATAGGTGAGCACACTTCCCAGGAGAGCGTGCAGATGTCTCTGCCACAGAAGGGATCCTGCTACTTGTCCATCCCTCGGTTCCTGCCCTCCTTCCCTGGCCCACCACAGCAAGGCACACCTCCTTCACCACAGAGGCAGGAATAGTGAGCTTGTAACTGGAACCACTTCATCACGCAAGAGAAGGAGAAGAAGCCACAATTACAAGCAATGCCCATGGCTCAGACCTGCCCATTGTTGTATATCTGCACTGATGCTGGAGCAGGAAGCTGTGGAGAGGATGGGAAGAGGTTTTGTCTTGTCTCCTGTCTTCCTGTTTCCTAAGGAGCAGCAGGAGAATGATAGGGTTGCACTTACCCAATGAGATGTAGCAGAAAATGGTGGTCTCTTGAGCTTGTACAAGTTAGCAATGTGATACTAGGATTAATGTGCTATGTACATGAGACATTGCCCATGTTGACCTACCCTACATATAGCAGCTGCAGCTGCCTTCAGAGCAGAGTCTTGCCCTTTAAAAACACAGAGAAAGTCCAAGCAAGGGTGAGGCATGAAATAACACAGATGCTGCAAATCTGCTTACAGAGTCCTGGCTTCCCCAGAGGACAAGCCCAAGGATGGAAATGGAGAGCAGGTGGGTATCTCCAGGCATATCTGTGTGAGGATGCCTGTGAGAGCTAATCCAAATACATTTAGGGTGTAAATGTAAAGCTGATTAGCAAAACCACAGTAAGCTCCTATGTGGGTATGCTC